GCCCTGTCGTCGTCGTCTGGGACGACGTCCGTACACTGGGACTTTTGCAGGACGCCCTCCAGCCGGAGGACCTCCTGGCCCAAGCGCTACGTGAGGCCGACCTTCTATCTCTCTGTACGCCCCTGCCCACCGCTGGGTCTCTCGCCGGGCCTTTCCCACGCGTGGACCCCCCGGAGAGCAGCTCGCCGCTCTCCCCGCGACCCCCGCCTTACCAAGACGACGGTCTCTCGGAGGCGCCGGGCCCGCCCTCCCCGAGGTTCCCGCCTGGGCCTTCCCCGGACAGCGACCCCGCGGAGGACACCCTAGAGGAAGAGGACGACAGCATCGCCGACGCCGAAGCCAGGCCAAGATACGCCACCTGGCGTATCTTGGCCTGGCTTGATCGCCCGGATCCCCGGCATCCTGCCAGGGATTCCAACTCTACCCCGAGGCAGACGACAGCAGGCAACCAGCGGCCTTCCCAGCTGGCCCGCTTCACGCACAAGTGAGACCCAGCTTCCCCCCTCCAGAAGGCGACTGGGAACTGACGGCAAAGACCTTTGAGTATGGCCCACCTTTTGATCCCGCAGCGTTATTTTTTTTACAGCGAAGCTGTTTATGGCTAATTTATGGCTAGAGTTCAGTGGAGTTTTCGTTTGCGTGGCCATAAACTCTACGCTCGTACCGCACCCACGCGCCGCGCGTACCGGCGTTTGCAGCAGTAACCGTGCACGAGCGTTCGTCAACGCTTTGTTGTGGTTATTTACTTCGAGCCTTTCATACGGAGGAGGCGTTTACGCATGCGGCGTGTGGAACACCATTTCCTGCATTCTCGTTGAATGCTGGGGTAATTTAGCAACTTTAGTGCGCGTGACCAGAAACTCTACGCTCGCACCGCCCTCTCTTTGTCATCGCCCCAAGCCCACTTGCGTGCCTAGTCTCCTTTCCTTCCTCTTTCCCGGGGTAGCAGTCCCGTCGCGCGTGTCTAGTTTGCTCCAGCTCCACGAGGCGGCGATAGTCGTCCACGTGAATGTAATACAAAAAAAAGAAGAAACAGAAAGTCAAGTTGCCGTTGGTCCATTTTCAATTTCCCTCCTCTCGTCGTAATGGGGAGGCCGCGTATAGTCCGGACTTCCGAAGAGCAATGCGCCTCCGAAGAGCAACGGCTGGAACGGTGTGTGTGCGCACCTTTCGTCGCGATGACCACCGATCAAGACAATAAACGTGTTCGTACCTTTGTTCAAAATTTTGTGTCACGCCTGTTTCGTATGCTAAACAGCTTCGTAAATGTAAAATTACGTGTGTTTTTTTTTTGTTTTTTGTTTTTTCATTTTGCTTTTTTTTTTTTGGGGGGGGGGGGGGAACATTGCAAGATGGCCGGCATGCCGACAAAGCACAACACAAAAGACGCTAACTTGACGCTGCAACTGCTCAAGCGTAAGCTTGTGTCGTTCTTGGCTCTTCATAACGCCTGAGATTGAGACTGAAGCGAAGGCAACTTTTCCTAAGCCCGCCGAAATTTAATTTACCATGTCTGTTGCCAATAAAGGTAACGTTGTGAGCTTTATTTTGCTTAGTCGACACGGCAGAGAAAACGTGAGCAGAGTCGGGTCGTGAAGTTTTGTACATGTAGTAGTCTGTACCGGAATGCAGAAGCTGCGCTGCTTTCTTTAGGTAGGCGGCTATAGAACCATTTAGTGAAACCGCCTCAGCAACAAAGAACGAAGGCAATGGACGGTGCAAACAGGAACCGCTGAGTTCTCAAGCTTCTGATTGCCATAAGCGCATCGCACACGAATGAGTGTTAGAAATATCACGAGACCCATCGGGGGTACAGCAGCAAGGGGAAGTAACAAACATCTTTTACAAAGCTATACGTGCTCACGCGTAGCAATTCGAACAAAAAGATCGGCGGAAGTACAGACGATTAATTTAACGTATCACAAAAGACTACCAATACATTCCCACTTGATAAGAAGGCCGTACGATGATATGAATCACATTTCGTTGCTTCTGCAATTATATGTCCATTGTGAAGTATATGGCTGCCAGAAGAAGCGCGAACCGCCCGCGATCGGCGTCGGCTGTCGGCAGGACCAGGCGGAACTCCATGAACACCGAGTCCCAGGACGGACTTCCGGTACGGTAGTCACGAGCAAAAGAAGTGCGCGTGGCCCGTTTTGTGTAAGGAGTGACTCTCGTCATAGTCATAACTCCGTGTCGCTACTTAATTAACGCACCAAATGTGAACCGTCTTTGCTTCTCTTTGCCACCTGGGTGATTTCATCTCAGCTCAGGCACGCATTTAGAGCCAAACTTTTAGTTTTGATGGAAGAAAATATATGTTTTGGGGCAATTCCTATAATCAGAGTAGATGCAGACGGAAATTTCGTCAGATGTTTTTTTTTTTTTTTTTTTTTTTTTCAAGTCATTGACCGTTGAAGCGGCTGAGGTTTCCAGGAAACTGGCGTTTTTCCAGCTTATCGGAGGTGCCATATTTCACTCCATCCCTTTTCCATACGTTTTACGCTACATCAATATAACTTTTTGGAAACACTCTAGACATAGGCTTTTTCATTCTAATTAAGCATCTATGTCATAACATTCTTAATGATTTTTTTTTTATTTGTCAAACCGCCTCTCTGCGACGATATTTGACGAAGTTCAGCAAGCTGTGCTGTCTGACCTAATCAACATATTTTTATGACGTTTATATCACCGTAAAGCTCCAATTAATCTCTTTCTTTTGAGTGAAAACTATATATTTTACAATAAGTATATAATGCATTACATGTGCCTGAAAAACAAAACTTTTGAAAAACTGTCAAGTTTGGAGTCGATTTTCTGAAAAAACCCACTTTTTATTTATTTTATTTTTTATTCACAGTTAGTTAATATAGTAGTTTATCAGAAACTACCAACGTAAATTGTAATATATTGTTCGTATGGCCGCTGTTAAGACTCGAATCTCGTGCTATGAGCGTTTTGAACGGGACTTTGCACAGGCGCTCTGCTGAGCAGAATTTTGGCCTATATGAGGTTTTCTATTTATCGTTAGCAGTTACCTCAATATCCAACCATAGACATTAATAAAATTTATAGTAGTGCACTTTAAAATTTTTACTTCGAAGTCCGAATCCACAAGTGCGGGCACAGCGCTTGCTTCCTTCCAATACTGGGGAATGCAGATCGTCAGAGAATTCCCCTGGGGCCTTTTGCTTTTGGCTTTGAGTTTGAAATACCAAACTTGACATGTAATTGTCATTTTTTTTTTAGATGTCAAACAGATATGCAGTGCATATACATATGTACCATTTAGTACCTGGCGCTTAGGAAGTACGGCTTATTTTGTGCGCGTACGGAATCTTTCGTAAAATAACAAGCATTTCGTAGCGTGTAAGGCTTCTAACGTGTTAGTCATCTGTTTAGGTTTCATTCCTATTTTCAGTGATTCATGCCGGGTTACCTAGACTTTTTCCTCTTGACATAAGTTTGTCCGGGAGTCTAGATGCTACGTATCTTCTCCGTCACTACATGGGGCGAAGCTCACACACCTTGCAAATCACGCCAGTGCCACGTAAATAAATATTGTTACGATAAATATCGTTGCTTCACTGGCTTTTACTGTCAGATATTGAGGTAAGAACTAAAAAAATAGAAAACCTTACATAGGTCAAAATTCTGCTCAGCTGAGCGTCTATGTGAAGTCCCGTTCAAAACTCTCACAGCATGAGATTTGAGTCCTTATAGCCGCCATACAAACAATATATTACAATTTCTGTTGGCAGGTCCTGGCAGACTACTATATTACCTAACTGTAAATAAAAAATAAAAGAAATAAAAGGTGTCTTTCTTTTTTTTTTTCAGAAAATCGACTTCAAATTTGCAAGTTTTTCTAAAGAAAGACTTGCAAGTTTGAAGTCAATTTTCTAAAAAAAAAAACACCTTTTATTTATTTCATTTTTATCTACAGTTAGGTAATATAGTAATCTATCAGGACCTGCCAACATAAAGTGTAATATGTTGTTTTGTATGGCCGCTATTAAGACTCGAATATCGTGCTGTGAGAGTTTTGAACGGGACTTCGCATAGACACTCAGCTGAGCAGAATTTTGACCTATGTAAGGTTTTCTATTTAATGTTGCTAAGCTCCAGGTGTAAGAAGTGTAATCCCGCTTTTCATACGACCCGTGGCGGAAAAATCCCGTTGTCATTGTGGAGTCAATAGCTCCTTGCCACGCCAGCAGAGTGGGAACTATGGTCGAATATTCGCGCCCTTGCTGAGTCCTCGGCTGCGCAAAAGTCAGCGAAAGCACAAGATCCCCGCTCGCGCTCCTGGCCTTTGCGGCAAAGAGGATGACCGGCGCGAGCCACACTGACTACAGTCGTCGGAAGAAAAAGAAGACACCAGCCTCCTGGCTTCCATTAGTTGTATCGTTTTTACAACGACGACTGCGCGCATGGGTCGCACTCGAATTCCTCCGAACGACATTCTCAACCGATTGGTAGACCGCCGGGCGGCTTGCGCTTCCCGAAACCTCTACAGGTCGGGTGACTATGACTTTCTCATTCTCTTGGGATTTCTCGTCGTGATCGTCATAATATTTCTCCTTTTCTTCCACTTTGACTTCGCCGAAACGCGCCTGGTTCCCCCGAGACATCGTTCTACAACTGTAAGGGACCCGGCGGGGAAGGCGGGTGCCACAAGCACAGATTGGTTAACAAGGGCCCTTTCAAGGTTCAAAAAGAAGGCCAAGCACAGGCGCCACCATGAGCAACCGCAGCGCCGTCCGCCGTACCTGTCCACCCTTGACGAACGTCTCATAACGCCGAAGGAAACCAGCAAGACAGAAACACCAAGCGCTGGCCCGCCAAAATATTGTCACGGCGCCGGCTGTAGCGAGCTGGCAGGGCAGCTTCTCTCCTCGGTGACCAAGGCGGTGGGGCCATGTAGCGACTTCTACCGGCACGTGTGCGAAGGCTGGCTGCAGAAGCACCCTCTCGCGCTGGGGCAGGCCGTTATGTCCGAAGCCGAGCTTCATCGTCGCAACCTCGAGCACCTGCTGGTATCCGAGCTCCGCACCGGATCGGACGACGGCTCTCTTAAATGGCCACTGAAGCTCTGGGAAGCGTGTCGGAGAGAAACCGGAGAACGCCGCTCCCACGACGTCTTCAGAAACATTCTCAAGAACCACGGCCTGGACGGATTTCCTTTCCGGAGCGATGTTGCGCTAGACGTCGCCACTAGGGCGGCTCACGTGCTACGGTCTTCTTCAATTGCAGCATTTGTGGATGTCAAGGTGGAGAAGGAAAGGAGCGGTTCAAAAAGTCGCTTGATAATCCAGATAGACCCTCCGGAAACTTTGTTTCGAGGCTTCGTCAAGATGCGCGACGTGCACGACGAGTGGTTCCTCTCTGCTGTCGAACGGCTCACCGGACTGCGCGCACTCCCACAGCTACTCAAGCTAGAACAGGCACTGGTGGCTCTTGCAGGACAGCGAAAAAAGACCAAGAACTACGTTCGAATGTCGGTCTCCCAACTCCAACACTCTCGGCACTGGAACTGGACCGTTTTCCTGTCCACCGTTTTCAAAGGGGTAACAAGGATTCGCAAGGACACTCCGGTCCTTACCAAGGGAGGCTCTTTCCAACGACAGCTGCTCAAGATCTTTGAGGTCTTTGGGACTTCTAACCTACTCAATTACCTAGGATTCAGAATGTACGTTCGCTACGCCCTCTTCCTGAACTTCCAGGACTTTCCAGAAGTTGCGGCTATAGCGGGGTCCCGACTCCCGGGCTGGGCAGACGGAGATTCAAAGAAGGACGCCGCAGACCTTCGCTGTCTGAGGATATTGACGCAACGTATGCCAGAACTTTATGCTTACATTTATTGGAATGCGTTCTTGAGAAACAGACACCAGCTGACCGAATCTATCGAAGGAATGGTAGAGAACGCCATGAACGAGGCGATTCATCACATCGGGCACCTCAATATTACGCCTCAGTTGACCGCCAAATTTAGAAACGACATTTTCAATTTACGAAAACAAATATTTATTCCACAATGGCTCAAACGAACACGGTCCCGCATGGACTTTAGCAAACTCATCTTTGAAAGCGCAGAAGATTCCGAACTCATCTCCTGGAACGAAATACTAGAAGCCCAAAAGGGCAATGCCCTGAGGAGGCTCACCCACGGCAGCTTCAAGACACTCTGGAAAGGGAGCGTCTTCGACGAGGATCCGTGGTGCAGCGTGGACGAGGGCATCATCGTCGTCCCCATCGCCTCTGTGGTGACCAATCAAACCGGAGACGCCTTCCAAGTGCATCACTCGTCCCGTCTCGGCGTTCGCCTGGTAGCTGCAGTGATAGAGCACTTCACTGATATGGCATTCCTGCACAAGTCCAAATTCCCCGCCGTCCACCTCAGGCTGGAACTGCTCGGGAACTGTCTACAGAGGCAGTACTACCGAGACCGTCCCTCTAGCGAAGCCGCGAGCCACGATGATGCCATCTACCTGCTGGCACTTCCAGCGGCTCTGCGCGTGTTTCAGCAGAGCGTCGCCGGCGGAAGCAAGAACTTGCGTCTTCCTGGCGTGCCAGGGTACAATACGGATCAGCTGTTCTTCATCGAGTACGCCCTGGGCCGTTGTGAGGGCTACGATGACGCCTACTTCCACCAAAGGATGCACCACGGAGTCAGGTCCCCCGCACCATTCACCGTGAATGGCCCACTGAGAAACTTCAGACCGTTTGCCGAAGCATTTGGGTGCCGTCGAGGCTCCTATATGAACCCCAGGCGAGTTTGCCATCTATAAGACCACCGTGAAGAGAATTTAGTAAAAATATTCTAAAGCGACGTGTACGTGATGCTTAATTTGTTCACCATATCCTGGGTGTCTCTAGCGTACAACACGTCCCAATAATTGCACGAATGCCCATCGGTGCAAAGCCCCCTTCTATTTCAAAGCGAGCAGGAGCTGCTGGATATATACTCCACATCGAGACGTCGAATATCTATAACATTTTTGATGCCCCTGCCTCACCCAGAGCAGTCAGTCTGTCTCTCTGATTTTCTTTCTTTACCTGAATAAAATAGAATCAATTACAGTGTCGAGCCGGAGTCTCTGGCTTATCGCTGCCGTGCCAGTTTAAAACGCAATAACAAGCAGGCTTGACACCCGCAATGCCGTGAACCAGCTACTCCTGTTACATTATATCTGTCAACTCCGCCACGGCCCCCGCAAACCCCCAATGGATAGATGAACAGAAGAATGAACATAGCTGAAGCCTTCGAATCGGCGGCAGCTTTTACCATCTGTGTTTACTTTGACTAGCACAACTTCTGAAAAGTTCAGATCTCTATGGCGAAATCGCCTATCGGAACCGGGTCCCGCACCTGTCCGCCCAATGAACCGCTGTGCTGCCTGTAGGAATGCTTTCGCATTCCTACACATAAGCTGTGTTAAGTGTGTCTGCCGAATTTTTATTTCTAGTATATATTACCGACCTCCAACTCAACTTATCATTCCACATAAGACTCCTTATGGATGACTGTGTTGTTTATCGTCGCATCACTAACCCGGATGATCAAGCATTATATTAGGATCTGAACATAATTTCACTTTAGTGCAACACATGGCAACTAAACACAAATACAGATAAAACTAAATGTGTATCATTTGCCAGCTGACCCTCTCCGTCACTAAGAAATTATACACTCGGCCACGCAGACATCGAGCAAGTTAGAACTTACAAGTACCTAAGGGTCACATTTTCAGAGGACCTCACTTGGAATGATCACATGAATAACAACATGTCCAGTGCGTGCAAAGCACTCGGATACATTAAACGTAATCTTTTTCGCTCATCAAAGACCGTAAAACTGACCGCATATAAAGCATTCGTCAGATCAAAACTAGAATACGCTAACACCATCTGCATGCAGTCCTCATCAAGCATATCTTATCAACAAGCTCGAATCGGTGGAAAATGAAGCATCACGTTACATTACTCATGACTACACCTCAAGGGTCACAGCTGCTAAAACAAAAACAAAAGCCTAACCCATAGAAGTAGAATTGTCCGTCTTGTTTTCTTTCATGGCATTTACTATTTATCATCCGAGTTTCGCAGCTCACATCTCCAGAAGCCATCTTTCATTTCCAAGCGCCTTGATCATCGCCTAAGACACAGTGGTTCTCAAATGGGGGTCCGCGAAGCCCTGCTTCGTCAGTCAAGCCCAGCAATAAAAGTTTCCTTTTTTCCGATTGAGAAGAAACGTTCCAATTTTCGGGTGAGTTTTCTCGTGTATATGTCAATAACAGAAGCCTACTTCACACTAGCCCTCAGTTATATTCATTTATTAAATCACTTTTGTACTTAAACCATAGCCTTTTCCTTCCCCTCACTACGAAGAGGGTCCTCCATCATATCCGCCGATTCCCATAGGGTCCGCGAATCACTGATGCTTGAGAACCGCTGCCCTAAGAAATCAGCCACCCTTTTTCAGAACAAACGAATTTCGAAACTCTCCACTCTCTCTTGCCATTGCCGACTGGAACTAATTGTCAACAAAACTAATATATATATATATATATATATATATATAAGAATAGTAAAAAAAATTCCGGGAAATGTGTGATTTATTTTTGTAGAGGGTGTGCAGTGTTATTTTTTTAGTTCTGCTTTTCGTTTTATTGTTGTGGACTTTATTGTAGATACTTGCCCCCTCACCTAGAGTGCTCTCCTGAGCACCTCGGAGGTAATATAACTGAACTGAACTGAACTGAACTGAACTGAACTGAACTGAACAAGCAAGAGGTGAAACGGTTCAACTTCTGTTTACATCTGATACACAGTGTTCTTCGCACTTCATTATTGTAATATATGCATGCATACATCCCAAGGCTTAGATCTGCCATTCCCACCCCTTTCTTCCTATTGATAACGCGCAATTTCCAGAATGCGCGCTAAAATGCCCAAAGGGGCTTGGGAGATTACTGGCCAGTCTGGTAATGCAGCTTCTAGACACGCTTTGACCCTGGCAATATGAGAGACACTTCCCACCACCCAACTAGGGTCCAGAAAGGAGAGCAACCTTCAACGGGCAATCTACTAAGGGGCGCAATGAAGGCAAACGTTTGGGGACATAAGCTGAAGGTGAGAGTAACCAGCTCTGACAGAAAAAAAAAACATATCCAGAGCACTTATCGATTACTAAGAGACACCGAAAAACCTAAAACTACGACCGTACTTTTTTTTTAGAACAATTTTGACGAACGTCAACACAAAACTTTTCTAGTGAAAACAAAAATAACTGCCACTTAAACTGTATTTTTTTCCGTTTTAACTCTTTTTTTTTATTTTCAACACCGGCGGATGTTTATCGGTGATTTTCGGTTAAAACAGGAAAGTATACGGCCTAGGCATAACAGAATGAAAACATTCTCTGCCGACGTTCTCAATGTTGTGGGGTGTTATGTAACATTACAACACATTGTCTTGTGTTCGTTAAATCATCTGGGTATCGCCAAACCCGATGGAGCCCAGTGTGTAACACATCCGTTTTCAATCCGTCAAAGTTTGAAACTCAGTCCAGACGTCAGTAGTTGCCTCTCCAGCTCTGCTGTGTACAACCATAGCCTCCCCTATACTCACAAAGCCTGGTAGTTCGACGACGAAGCCATAGAATGCCCGGTCGCAGATTTAGAGCGCGAGGATCTGGTACCAGAGAGCATTTCTCGAGGAACCGAAAGCCCCTCTATCCTGGGAAAAGTGGCGCCATTCATTGTTGTAGAAATGCTCGAGGTACACATCGCGACACTGTTAGCGCGAACACGACATCGGCGCATTTTCGCATTTTACTTCTAAAGAGTATTAGCAAGCACGAAATTGTATCGCTTACATTATAGAACTAAATGAGCTCTTTATGTAGCAATAATAACTTGGATGAAATCCCTTGGTTTCAAAGAGAAAAACTGGAAAAACCGGCGATCGCTTGTTCGCGCTAACAGTGTCGCGCTCTGTACGTGCCGCGCTCCACTTCTGAGAAGAACATGGCGTCTGAAATCTAGGTCAGTGCTACAGTGTACTCAGTACTGCATTGTGCCGCCATGATCTTCCCAAGGACTGCAAGTTGCACGTGCCTCGTGCATCGACGCACCTCGCGCTACTTTTAAAACATGAAGGTGTTTTAGGGGAACCTGGTACTCAGAGCACAGCTTTTGCAGCGGCTAGGACTCGAAACATGGCGGACATTCCATCGCTCGGGAGAAGTGTTTCGGCGTCTCGCCGCAGCGGAACGCCCGTTACATGACTCTCCTCCTCTGTGCTCAGTGGCGGATCCAAGGGGGGGTGGTGGGGGCGATCGCCCCCCCCCCCCCCCAAGCGCCTCACCAGGCAACCCCCCCCCCCCTCCCCGGGGTTCTTCGTCAGCTCGAAGAAAAAACGTAAGCAATCGACGCGAGAGACAAAAAAGATTAAAACAGCGGTGGGTGGACGCGCCTGCTGGGCGCTTCCAAAGTGGGGTTTATCTCCGTCAAGGTCACGGTACGTCTTCCCGACAGGGACGGCGCCAGGAGTTTTGAAGTGGAGAGACAGTGGGGAGGCGCACCAAATATCAGGGTCCTCGACTGCAGGCACATCCAAACAAGGCCAGCACGTCGAGCACGGGGGGAAGATACCTTCAGCATATCTAGTCCCCTTTCTCTCTCTCTCTATCTCTGTCTTCCTCTCTCTCTTTGGAGGTTGTCTGCGAAAAATTTGTGCCCTGAAAGCTCCCAAACGCAGACGCCAAGCAGCCTTCCTCAAGGGTACGATCCTATACACAGCGGATTATCCTTCCTCTCTAGCGGCCGCCTTTTCATCCCTTTTCGTTCGATGGTTTCTTCGTGGTTCTGGGCTTGTCCTTTGGCATGTCTTTTTTGGCTTGCTTTGAGATGCTGTCGCCCACGGGCTCACTAAAGGTATCTATTGGCATGGTGTGCTCATTGCTAAGGGAAGTGCGGAGGGGACGTACCAGGAGGAGACGTTCCAGGGGGGGAAGGATGCAGCTTGTACAACCAGGAGACCAACTGCTTTTCTTCTCAACTGAGAGAGGAAGCAAATGCTCTGGGTACAGTGTAGTCTGGGTCTGAGCTTCTCCTGAAGACGCTCCGGACTTCCCCACGACCTTGGCTTAAACATGAGTCCGCTTTCGTCCTCGCCTCCATCCCTCACTGAGGATCAGCGCCGCAGAGCGGAATACAGAAAGAAGCCGACGAGCGCCAGAAGGGGGAGATGTTTGCTCTAATGGGCTGAATGGGCTTCATACTGCCTGCGGTACGACCTCTCGTGGCGGGAAGCTAATAAAAGAAAGATAAACGGTACGAGCACTCTAAAGGCTGGAGGCTGCTTACACGGGGTCCTCAAGTTGACGCCGTAGGCATTTATTTGTATACAATGCCGTTTCAACTTAGGGTGGCGGCACATATTTTAGGAAAGGCGCCCGCTACCCCTTGTCCCCCCTTGGCGCCGTCTTTACTTTTCGAGTTAAACGCGGCTTCTGTGGATTGACGGCAGAGCTTTCGCGCGGCTTTGCAGGAGCGAATATGTGTGTGTCGAACGGAACAAAGGCGGGACTTGCTGGTTTGCAACTGCGGCTTCGAATTCCCTACCTAGGGACTTGGGGAAAACGAGCCCTTTCAAAGATGCGACTATACACAAATTAAATAGACAGTGCCTGTGCCCGTTCGAGTGAACACTGACTCCCAAACATCCATGCTGCAGTCGTGATCGGCCTTTAGCCCAGTTGAGATTCGCCGACCGGACAACCGCT